AGGGGGACGAGCGGGGGGACCCCGGCCCTCGCCGGGGAGCGGCGCGGGGCTGCGGAGCAAGGCGGCCCCGTCCTTCCCGGCCTGGCCTGATTTTTAACCCGCGTGCTTTGCAGCCCGGTGTTTCGCTGCAAGGAGTTAACTAGGTGGGATCTAGGAGTCAGGGATGGTAGCTGCTCTCCTATCGCACCACGCACTGCCAGCGTACTGCCTCCTTCCATTTTAGTCTGATAGATCCATCAGAAATGCTGCTTCAGCTGTGGTTCCTGCCACTAAAAAGCCTGAAATTATTCTTGTTATCTTTGCCACGGGCTAACTCCCCAATTTCCCGGTCGTCTGTCACCTGTGACATTATCCACGGGTCAGTTGTTCACGCTGAGGTGATGACCATCTACACTCACCCAGAAGACAGAAGAGGATTTACCAAGAGAATCCAAAAACTGCTACCACAACCACTCTCTGAAAAGTCTCTGCAAACATGTTAAAAAATTACTCGCCATAACAAATGGGTATAGGTCACAAGCATTTAAAGCCAGAGGCTGTATCTGTAAAATGGCCACAGTCAGTCATACATCGGGTGTTTAATGGGCTATAATCCTGCTCAAATCAGCAGCACCATCAGCAAACACTTTAGAAGTCACTTACTTTAATGCTTCTCTGTATCAATGTGACATAATACAAATGAGCGTAATATTGAGTTCCTCAGGACTCCAATTTCAGCAACATCAATCACGCCAATCTTCCCCGGTGTGTTCACCCGTCTCCACGAGATGCAGCATAGGGCAGGAAGCTGCGCCCGCTATTTCAGTTTGAGCAGTATGGCTCATCGCTCCCCACCGCCATGGGCCAGCAAAGCCGTTGTCGAGTAACAAGAGCCCTTGGGCCCAATCCAGCAAAACCTTCAGTCGTACGGTCGACTTCATCAACATAGTCCCAGTCCTTGAACAACAGAAGAAAAGCGAAATGCCCGCTCCTGTCTGCTGATACTCCCTTGCTCAAGGGATTCTTGAAGATGAAAGATTTTCACACCTGGATCTTTTCTATACCAAAAAAAAAAATCATCATCTTTCCCCCTTTCTTCCAAAAAGATTTCTTAACCACCAGCCTATGTGAACGCCATCTGTTCCTATCTCATGGAAAAGAATAATTTCACAGGATTTCTTCCAACATCCTATGGGAAAACAGGCATGAAAATTTTCCTCCATGCTGACCTGTGTCTCTATAAAATATTGTGGAAAATAGTACCACATGCCTTTCTTTAGCAATCTAAATATTTGGGAAGAGATTTTGTTTTTCCTTGAGTGAAGGAATTATTATTAAAAGCTAAAAAAAGGCTCAGACTTACTGCCTACAATTTGACAATAGCTTCAGGCCTTAAATTCAGGCATTCCACCCAATGGGCAGAAACCGTTTGGAGATCCACTCCAGGAATGACTGCGTTGGTGCCTTAACTTTAATAGCTGAAGAGCTGTCTCTGTGAGAGTAATTATTTCCATTAATTACCTAGTAAATATCTCCAATATCTACTTTCAGTTGGCTGAGATTTTCTCCCTATTGTGATCCCAGGTGTAATCCTCAGCTGGAGTTTACCGCTTACTTAAAGTGGATTAGAGCTGTGCTTTCTCGCTTCTACTACAGATACGAACACTCCACATGCGGTCGGTACCTTTAACGACAGGCATCTTCAAGGCCAGCAAGAAAACCCATCATTCCTATTGTGGCGTCCAGCAAAAAACATTGTTTATAGCAACTCCTATTTTCTAGAGGCCTTATATAGCACCAGCATTTATTCTGTGGAGTCGTGCCCTCCAATATTTTTATTGTAATATACACCACACACAATTTGAATATTGTGTGTGACCACTTTGGCCTCAAATTTGGGACTGACGTTCAACCAGTTTGAAGCATCAGGCCTGAGCTTTACTAAACAAACACACTCAAATGCAGCATATCGCCGACAAAACATGCCACCAACTAACACAGACAAGATTAAGTAGCAAAAGGGGCTACAACATGGAGCTCCAACCTTGCAAGCAAATGGACTTGCTACTGAGCCAAACTAAAAAAAAAAAAAAAAGCTTGTAGGATTAAGTACATGCAGGTTTGTGTATTTCATGCTAGCATGGGAAAGACTCACAGTACAGGACTGTCAAATGCTGTCTAAAAATGTATTGGCATGAGTTTGGGATGGCCATATTACTCACAGACGGTGGCTGCTGGAAGCTGCTCAACTCTTTGAAATGTTAAAAGTAGGCTCAGCTAAGAGAGAGACGGGCATGCAGCATGCAGAGGAAGTCAAAGCTGCATGATAAACATAGCAATCACATATTCATACAACGAACAACTGTAGATGATCTAAACATAGCTTTGGTAGGACAGGAGCACGCTTGTAAGGCAACAGCTATTCCAGAAAAATATCACCCTACAATTTGAAAAGCATACATAAAAAGTACCCGTATCTGTCACTAACACTTTATTTTCCTCTTTCCAATTGCAGGAGCCATCCCCTCCCTGGAAGGCCCTGAAGAGCTTTGTGCCTGGAGCAAGGGGCTCCTGCTAAGCCCCCACCTCTGGGTGTAGTGAATGCTCTTCTCCTTTACCCAGCTGTGTAATAGCAGGCACCACAGGTTCCAGCCTTCTTCACTCTTATTTAGTTGCCAAGGATTTCTACGGTCCCAAGGGACTGTTATGGTGAGGTTTCCAGTGAGGGCATTTCCACCACTGGACTTCAACAGACTATTCATATGGGCCCCTACTGAATTCGCCGCAGGGGCCCCGCGCCTTTGATCAAACCACGTATTGCCATAGGCTTCAGGCCTTGCTGTGGACACAGCATCTTCCCCTCTAAGGGAAGCGGTACTTCCTCATGGCGTGAGAGCAGGAAACCTCCACCTGCCTTCCGAATGGGCCAAGCCATACACGCAGTTACACCAAGGATAAACCTTTGCTGCTGCTAAGTTTTATTACAACAGTGCTCAGCAGAAATACTACTGGACTTAGTAAGTTAATTTTAAGGCTCATTTTACTTATTCAGCGGGACTTACAAATGACTTGTGTCTTGACTTCTTTGGAGACATTAATAGATCTCTGTCAGTTCTTTATGGATAATTATGACATTAAGGCCATGCCATGTTACTGTATTCTGCCATTAAACCATTAGTCATATCCTGTGATGGGAATTTACACTAAACGAGAAACTAATGGCATACAGCCTGCTTCTCCTTTGAGCAAGTAAGACAGCCCATGTGCTTCACAGGCAGTGAGGACAGAGGGCTGCTCCCAGCAACCGCGCTGAGACCGCATCCTCCCGGCCCACCACCAGCCTTAGGAGGCCAAGGAGAAGGCAACAGGCAGGAGACACTTGCAGCTAAGCGATGCTCATCCCTCATTGGCCTCTGAAAACTGTAAAGCCCTAAAGCAGTCCCATTTAAAAATATGTGACCATTTTTAATTCACATTTTTAAGTGAGTTAAGCATATGTGGTGCAACTAGAATATGCATTAATGAGTTTTATCTCACTAGCAAGCTATTGCACCTACCCCGAGTGCCTGTCTTACAGTGTGACAAATTACTTGTTCAGCAGAAAAGCCATTGTTTCTCACCTCATCAATTACTAGAAAAAATGTTTACATGTGCCCATCTATTTTCATACAGCTCAGTTGTCAGTTTTAATTAGGGTTCTAATTCTTTCCATCACTGGTAATTCTTATCTATTTATCCACGTGCAGCAAGTGGGAAGTTGTTTTTGAACCCATAAAGTATTCACTGTTGTAATTAATATTTTGAATGTGTATTTTTCTTTACTGGCTTGCAAATCTCCCAGTGGGTTTCCTCCCTGCCTGTGTCGTGTTACCAGACCTAATGGGATTTACTTGTCACATGTTCTGCCACTGTTTTTTCATATTTGCTTTCACAAATCTGTTATGCTTGGACAGCTTCAGAAGCAACAATTATAACTAACTTTTCAATGCCATTCTCATCAATGATAAATGTGAATTGCCATATGTCACCTTTATTATGGATTATTTATGCACAGGAAAAACTTACTACTCCTTTGAATTACTGATCTCCTTGAGGGAAAGCTAGTGGTGCTCTGGGATGATTACAAAATGTTTTTCTGTAATCATCAAAATGTTCTACAAAATTGCTGGTTTGTAGTTTGTTTTTCATTTTTGCTAGTTGTGGTCTCTTCAAAATAGGAGACTGACAATGGGAATATCTAGATTTTATATCTGGCTGTCCACACCCATTAGTACCAATCATGCAACTGTCCTCGTAGATTTTCATGGCACTTCTGGATGACTTATGAGATGGAAACCTAATATCTATATTGTCTTTGCAGACTGGAAAAAAACATGGAGCATTCTGAAAGAAAAAGAACGCACATCTAAGACTGCACACGTCAGGCCTGATGAGAATGGCCTAAGCTCGTGCTGACTCTAAAGGTAGTTTTCCTTGATAAGTAAGCAGGTGCTTACTTTTAAACTATGTCTTGAGGAGCTGAGGATTTGGGTTTTATATTTGTAAAGTACTACATCCATGTTTTAGGGGACTCTGGAAATAGTGACACAGACCTATGGCACAACAATCTGTAAATAAAATAAAATACAGACAGAGGACACTGGAAATCACCTAAAATAGCATTAGTGCTTTTCTTGTAATCAACAAATAAAATTTGGAAGAAACAAAACAAACCAGACAAAGACAAGGGAAAAGAAAATAGCCTAGGCAATACTAAATAAGTATCATGCAGGGATAATTAAAGAACTTGCTAGCAGAAATAAAGAATACAAAATGAGGAGATGAAAAAGGAGAACATTAAGTATCATCTGTGTTTGAAAACCACCAGACTTAATCTACCTGGCAATAGCCATAAGAGAAAGTACAACGAAATACATGAATTATTTTCAAACATGCACAAGAAACTCCGTTTTCTGTCAGTCTCTGCATGTTCAGTTACATGGAAATACATCTGGAAAAGATGCTACAGATTTTTTATAGAAAGACAGCATTTGGTAGTCTTTTTTTTTTTTTTAATTCGATAGCTTGTTCTAAGGATAGACTCCTTGTTTTATCTCTTCTCAATTATTTTATAATTTTCTCCTCCCCCCATGCCAGGCACAGAGCTCACAAATCACACTGTGGAACTAAGCTGTGCACTAATGCTAATGTCAAAATAGGGCAGTTGTAAGTAATGGTTAGTTAATTTAAAGAGTTTCAGCTTTTAAAAACCTGAGCAAAAAACGTATTTCCCAGATTCACACTTAAGCACCTAAACAGAGGTGAAGAGGTAACTTCATATCATGTTAAAAGTCTGACTTTGAAAAATCTGGGAGTCACAACTTCATAGCTTTATCTGCAAAGGATCACCCGCCCTTTCCAGGGACCAAATCTTTCTGCCATGATAAATATGCCACTAGCACCAGGCAGGCAGAAAGCTGAGTGAACAAGAGCCCAGTTTTTGTAAGGTGTGTGGACCGCAAGAAGCATAAATTGTTGCTGTGCAGATTCATGGTGCACTGGCATTGCTCAGCACTTCCATCCTTGAACACGCTTCCTTCTATTTTCTTCAAAATGTAGACCTGAAATTCTGGGCTTGGTGGTTTAATCTTGGGCTGGCAGCTATGGACTGTGTTTGGCAGGACAAGCAGTTAAAGGCTCATGCTCATCCTTTCAGCTTTAAGGTAACTGCAAATCTATCTTCACATTTTTGCTAGAAATAGGTCTTTCGGTTGTGTTGTGCCACTGACGTTAAGCATGCAAGGAAGCTGATCCACTGTTTTGTACAGTTTCCTGTTTTATTTTCAGTTGTTAGAGGGAAGATTAAAAGCCAAGGAAAAGGTAGGTACAAAATATAGGGTAATATATAGGCCCACATTTTCCTCTCTGCATAGCAAATATAAATATATCCCTGATGTAAATACCCCAG